GGTGGAAGTAGAAGGATCACAAGTTCAAAGCCAGGTTGGGCTACATAGCAGACTCTTAAAACAAGCAAAAATAAGATAAAGTGAAAAGAAACAAAAAAAGGTGCTTGGGAAGGCCATATACCTTTAATGATTCAATTTGACATCTTTTATCTGAACCATATTGGTGGCAAAATTGTGTGTGTGTGTGTGTGTGTAGGGGTGTTTCATTCACTCTCATAAGCCTGGCTTCAATACAGAAGTTGTCAAGGGTGGAGGGGAGCAAACTGCTAGAATTCACATCACAGGCATTACTTTTGGATATTGATAGTAAGCTAACTTGTTGCCGGATTTGCATATTGATGGTGAAGATCCTAAAATCAATGAACATTTTTAGTTACATGGTTGTCATATGTGCTAGAAGAGGCTCCTCTCCTTTCTGGTCACTCTGAATGGCTTCTTCTGGTTACAAATGCAATGTAGCATTTCCTCATCCATTTTCCCCTCTGTTTGCAATACTTCCTGCATTTCCAACCAGCAGGTTAATAGGATGCAGAGCACAAAAACAGGGCCAGGGAATCTGTTGGTTACAGTCTACTTACTGAGGCTGTGGCTCTGACACTACATGCTGAAGTCAGGGAAAAGTCACCACCCAAACATAATCCAAGGGAAATGCAAGCTGATGTGGCACAAAGATGCTTTGTTTAAGAACAGCCGAAATTTCTAGCAACTCTCTGGGAAAAAAAAAAATGCAGGATGGGAGGGAATGTAATCAAATAACAAAACAAACCCAAACTAAAAGAGAATCTTTATAACCCAGCACAAGGCCACTTTGTTTTTAAGTGCGCACAATGAATTTTAAAGATCTTTGTTCAGAAGGAAATAAAGTATTATGAAGGACTGACACATTTGATGGATGGATGGTTTCTGAAAAACCACATTATCAATTACTTTTTTCTTGTTTGGCTCCAGTCCAGTAATTTTGATTCGAACAAGCCACATGCTAGCATGGTTTTGATTGCAGGAAGTGCCTGGCTGCTGTTAAAGGGTACTGTTTCACTGATGGGCTTATCTCTGCCGCCCCCCTCCCCTTGCTGATGGGACTCTGATATGAAAGGCGCAGCTTCAGTTGTTATAAACAGCCTAGGATTGTTTGCTAGACCCGCCCGTGTTTTGCTTGCAGCCTTCTGTGGTACAATCCAGAGGACGAATTCAGCGGCGCTCCAGAAAACAAACACTTGAATTCAGCTTGTGTCTGTCCTTAACTCAGATAGGAAATTTCAATTCTGCTCCTGCTTCTGTCTCTTAAATCTATGTTGGTTAGCAAAAATACTTACAGATATTATATTCTTTTCAAAAAGTTCTAGATTGCGTTCTCAAGTGAATGTTCCTGAGAAAAAGGGTGGGGGGAGTGGCTAAATGGAGCAGTCAACCTAAAATATCTGGAGGTTCTTTTCAAACAATACAGTGCCTTATTCCAGCTTTTCTTGTCTTTTTTTTTTTTATCTTACCCAAACAAGCCTGTCAGGACACTGTTTATTAGTACAATACAAGAAATGTGACTAATTAAATGATAGGTTTGTGTATTAAGTATGGTTCACCCCTCTTTAACTAAAGAAAGATTTGAGAATGACCATAAGTGGGCAGGGAATTGCCCATGAAATAACTGCTGGGCACATTCAGAAGTCTGTCTGTCTGTCTGTCATATTATTTCATCACAGCTTCGTGTACTGTTTGCACAAAACAGAACCTTCTAGTATCTCTAAATGCCCAGGGTCATCAGGGAACCTCTACGGTTTTGGTATATGCACCCTCGTTCTTTCTGTATTTTGAACACTAATTTTAGTGATTATTCCTCTGCTGAGAATTAAAACACAAAATGATGATTTAGAGAATGGGCCATTTGATTATTCATCAGTACACGAAAACAATTTGAATGAATTAGAATTTAATTTTGTTCAATCGAAGAAATATAAATTTAGCAACCATTTGTTGATTCTCTTTTCATATGGCAATTCTAAAAGATCTTACTGCATGAATGCTCAAAATGCATTATGCTGGGTGTGGTGGTGCGTGCCTGGAATCCTAGTATTTGGGAGACTAAGGCCAGAGGTTAGTAAATTCAAGGTCTCCCAGGACTAGCTAGCAATGTTCAGGGCAACCTAGGATACCTAGTAAGACTGTATCTCCAAAAGCAAGACAAAATATATTATTATCACAACTTAATCCTTTAAATCAAAATAAATTAAGCAATTTATATATGTGTGTGCACGGTATATGTGTGCTTGTGTGCACGTGTATATATAAGATTTAGGTGCAAATACAACACATATATATATATATGAAGACCTGGGATCAATGTTGACTGTCCTCCTTTATCACTCTCTATCTTACCATGTTTGATAGAGTCTTTCACTGAAGCTGGAGACTGTAATATAACTGGCCAATGAGCACTGGGATCTACCTGTCTCCAGATACCCAGCACGTTGCCATGCCCAGCTTCCTTCTGTGGGTCCTCATGCTGTGCAGTAAGGACTTCAGCTACCGAGACATCACCCAGCTCCCAAAATAATTTAAAAAATTATTACATAATTTTTATATTAAAAATGTATATATTAAAAAAGTATATACAAAAACTGGGCATAGAAGTATATGCCTTCAATCCTGGCACTCCAGAGCTAGGGGCAGGTGGATCTCTATGAGTTCAAGGGCAGCCTGGTGTACACAGATTTAGACCAGAAAGGACTGCATTCTGAGAATCTGTCTCACAAACAACAATTATATACATAAACACCTTATTTCCTTCTGGCATAGAAAAGAATGGTTTGGGAAACAACAAAATAACCTTCTAGAAAATAGTCCTGGCTTTGAATCTGATTCTGTGATTTGCTAATTGGACAAAGTTGTGCAAGACAGAAAATCCGCCCTAGATCCCATAGATTTACTTATAAAAGGAAAATAAGAGGGAAATCAAGGCATTACATTCAATCCTTTGTTTACTTATTTACTTATTTTAGTGCTGGATGTTTGGGTGGAGCTCTGCCTCACCCCATCCCACTCCAAACCCTGCCCAGTGGCAGAAAGCCTTCAAAAGGGAGGCTCCTCCCCCTGGGATGCCTGGGATCATGCCTACAGCTGGTTTGCCAGGTAGTTTTCTCCGTCCCCGACCCCAGACCACCGAGGAGCTGTTTTACTCATTAAACCTGGACTTTCAATTCTTAACTCAGCTTGGTGTTGAGTAACTCACAACTGCTGGCAACTCCAGTGTTAAGGTATCTGGCACCTTCCTCTGGCCTATGTAGGCCTACATAGGTAACTGTACTCATATATATATATATATATA